CTCGGCTCCGCGCTGCCTGCTCCGGCTCCGGGATGAGGGCGGCGTCGCCGCCGCCAGCAGGCGCATCCAGCCGGGGCTGTGCCCCTTACGGCAGGGTCATCGCAGTGTCCCGTGCCGGGGACCCGGGGCAGCGGTGTCCTTGTGCTGGCACCGCTGCGCCCCGCCTGCCCTCGGCGGCGGCAGGGCTGGGTGATCCCCCACGGATGGTGTGAGGAAGCTGTAGTGGGGTGTAAGGGCCACTTAATGCGTGTGCACGGCAGGGCCAGAGAAGCTGCCTGACTTACACGGCTCGAGGGTGTAATTGGATCTCGGCCTTCATGGCTGTCATGTGCTGCCTTCGGGGTTGTTTGCTTGGATCTCGCCGGTGGTGGGAAAACATTGGGCGAACCTTTGCATATGGCACTGTTGGCTCTTGTGAAGGGTCTGTACCCTAAAAGGGCTGATGTGGGGCCTGCCCATCCAGAGGTGCTTGTGCCTTGACACACGCGTGTCTGTATGGAGCTCTCTAAGAGCCTCATTACCAGAACACGCTGTGTTGTGACATTGTTCATCTTGGGGTGTGCTTACCAAACGATGGTGTAACTCATTGGGCTAGACAGGAGAGATGTACTCTGGTAAATGATGCGAGTGACATCAGGCCTGCAGCAAGCCAGTGTCACACCCCCATATCACCGTCCAGTTACAATGTAACCAAGTCTCTTGAAAATTAATGTGTGGTGAAGGATGATGTATGTGTGTAATCCAAGTATTGTGGAAAAATACGAGTATGTAGAGCTCCAGGCCAGAAAGGTTGTCGTGCACTGCAGGCGAGCTGTCCTTCCTTTCCTAACAAAATTATCTCGAAATTGTACTTCCCCTTTCAATTTCTGTGTAGCAGAAGAGCACACAGTAGTACTTATTCCAGAAATCTCCAGTCTCTTCAACTGTTCTCTCTCTATTCTAATTCTCTGTCAAAGGTTCTCTTTACTTTTCTGTAGCTTAACCTTTCTGTGACACATGAACTGTGTAACTTGGCAAATGGGTTCCTGGGAAGTGTTTTTAGTTCCTTGGCTATGACTGTAAAAAATACTACTGGAGTTAAAGAGTAGTAGCTCCTTTGTTCAGGAGGCTGTTGCACTCAAACTGTGTAATATTCCTCTGTATAGTGTAACAAGAAGTTTCTGGAGTGGGAGGAAAAGAAATTTACTTGGGGAGCAGCCAAATTCCTGCCACTACTGGCTGCACTTGAAATCCTATGTAGGCAGCCCTTAGTGAGGATGTGCTTGCTGGAAAGTTACCTGAACCCTTGTTTTCCTAGAACATCAGATGGAGCAAGGTGCTCCAAAGTAAAATTTTGCTTTTCTCTATGAAGAGAATTACAAACCTGAGTCTTTCTCCTATATTGTTTTTATCTAGCCATGAAAATTATAACCTGTATCTATTCTTGAGGAAGGGTGCAAGTCTGGCACTCTTTTTATTTCCCATTCTCTGTTTTTTTTTTACTTTAATTTTCTGAACCAGTTATGTGAGGCTCCCTTTGGAGTTCCTTTGTATTGAGTTTGCAAGGCAGGGTTTATGTAGATATGTGTGTCCGTGTGCTTGTGAGGTCTGATGGGCTGAAATCCTGACATAACAGTTCAGGAATCTGCATTTGGACAGCAGCATCCAAATCAAAAACCTGACATAGTTTCACATGCTCTTTGCAGACTTACCCAAAAAACATTACTTGTGTTTGCATGACCTGATCTTTGGTGGAAATCTATGACATAACTATCAATAGCCAGCAATCTGCACAGAAGAGAATTCCTTAAGATCTTTTTTTAATCAGTTGGTTGCGTTTTGTCAGGCTTCCACTAGAGTAAAAGCTAAAGTATTTAAAATGTAGATTTGTGGAAGGACTTGCTCTGTGGAGTGCGTTGTAAACTCTTTCTATATGGCAAACACAGCAAAACGTAGTTAGACCATATATTAGAGCAGTTATAATAATGGAAGTAATAAAGCTAAATGAGAAATGTTAGCACCCTTGACATCATTTCAGGTTCAAATACATTTAAGTAATTAGACAGTCTCAATTAAGTAGTTGGTCATAGAGGAAACATAGATTTGCTAGGAAGTGAACTGCCCTCAGCACTGCTTTGAATTCTGCCTTGTCAAGAGTTTAAATAGTTTTCACTTGCTTGGTCTTAGTAGCTTAAAAAGTTCTGAAGGTAGTTCTGAATTATTTTTAAAATAGTCTTAAGGTATTCCACAGCTGTGTATTCAGAGCTTTTAGTATGAGGGAGTGTTTCAGGATTGTCCAGCTTTTAAGAGAGAAGAGCAGTAGGCTGTACATTAACTTGGGGAGTTGCTACTGTGAGCCAGATAAATTATTTAAAAATACAAAAAAAGTTTCTAAATTTCTAAATGTTTCTAATATTGACTAAGATTTGTCATAGTTTTTATGGTGCATATTGTCACCATGACATTCAACTTCACTTTTATCATATGTGATTTTTTTTTTTTTCTCCTTAGAGACATCTCTTAGCTGTTAATTTTAAATATAATTTTAGCTTGCCCTTCCTGCCCCACCTTTTTGGCAGGCAGAATGTGGCAATAAGTAAAGGGAGCAGAACTGGCAGGCAGAGAGTTAGAGTCCTTCTCAAACCATAGAGAATCCAGAAGGACAAGGTGATTCCTCTTTTGCAGAGGTACCTCATTCTGACCAATAGGAAAAATTTGGTAGGCAGAGGAATTTAAGATTCATATACTGCACCCATCATAATATCAGCTCTTGGGAATCAGTGTGTCAGTCTGTGTGCTCAGTTCTTGGGGCCTCCATGAGCTTCTAAGAAAGAGTTTTGAATGTATAAGGAAGTGGCATGAGAAAATCCTAGCCAGTTTTACCTGGGTACTGGACATTTGCATTTGGTTGCCACTGGAATAGTTCACACTCCTGTCTGCAAACCAGAAAATGTTGATCCCTGCTTATGTCTCAGTAACAGTGATGGTTTAGGGTGGTTTTGTTTGTCTGTTTGTTTTGTCTGCCCTAAAACTTACAGAATTTCAGAAAATCATGTGTCTGTCTCGAGTATTTAATTCCTGACTTCCTTTTATATCTGCTTACCTTGAAGACAGAGCTAAAAGCTGAGACAAACACCATTAATTATTTGGATCTGGAGAATGAAATTGTCTGTCCTGAGCTGTAGAACCATAAACAGTTTATACAATACAGGATAAAATGGCCTTTTCAAATCTGTTCAATTATTTTATTTTAACATTTTTTTCCCTGCTAATGGAGATAGTAGTTGTTCCAGGTATTAAAAAGGACTGATGATTCTCAGACTACTAGTTCTCAGTAATTCTCCTGTGGAAAGAAAATAGTAAGTCTACACTTCTATCTCCTTCTTAATTGTAGGAAAGATGGGAAAACAACTTTGGTCAGCACAGGTGGTAATTTCTTTGATATTTAGGGATGGTCTTGAGCTGCCTTGTCCAGTATATGCTGAGACCAAAACCAGTAGCAGTAGATCTTTCCTAATTATCCACTGCCTCAGCAAAAGAAAAAGTTAAAGACTTATTTTTCTTTATTTTATTGAAAAGTACAGTCAAATGGCTTAAAAATTGTGTAGAAAGATAAAGTGCATCTCTTATTTAAGATGACTCTTCTTTTTCAAACCTTGCTATTGTGTTAATAGTATGAGTCACAAGAAAGATTTATCAATCAAAAGTCTTTACAGAGTAACAATAAGAAATGTTCTTACTGGGTAGCTCTTATTTTTGTTACAGATCAAAGGCTGAAAAAACCTAAACCTTAAACAAAAAATAAATACAAAGATGAAAGAATGCATCTGGTCTTTGTAATATCCAAAGATTGTTCTAAATTGCATATCTGAAACAACAATTACTGCTCTAGAATCATACTTCAAATGAAGCTTGTGGTAGACTGCTTTTTTCTCCCTTTGTTCTTTCAAGAAAGGTAGATAAGGGGTGAATTAATTAAAAAAAAACCCAAAACAACCCAAGACAAAAAAAAATGCACAACTCCTATGGGAAGGCTTGTTCAAAGCTATGTAAAGAGCATTTGCTTCTTATGTGGATGTCAGCACATGTAGCTGCAAAAGTTTGGTGAATTCCTTCCACAAGGTGAGGCTCTGAAAAAAACTTGTAATCCAAAAAGTCCAAACAAGGTGGCTCCCCCCACCTGGCAGTGTGGATTTCTGGGAAAAGGCTTTACCAGACCTTTCCAGAAGTGCTTGTCCAGATGAAGCCAGCTGAGGTGCACTGAGAGAACTTTGAACCTCTCAGAAGATTGCAGGAGATGGACTTTCCACCTGCATGGTAAGCGGTGAGGGAAGGTGAGTGGGACAGGATTGGAAGGGGATAAGAAAGTAGATTATTACTCAAAAGACAAAAACAACAAACAAAAACAAGAAGGGGTGTCTGTATCACTTTCAGCTCCTAACATTGCTTTGAGATAGACTAGACTGAAGCTACTGGGGTCTCACTTTTACCTAACAATGGGAGTTTGTTTGTCCACAACTCTAAACAAAGACACCTCAATTTTCTCTTCAAACTCCTAATGGAATCTTTTCAGCTACTAATGCAAAATAATCAGCTTGAAAAATTAGTCATTTTGACCTGTCTAAAAGAAGTGCAGTTGGGGCTGCAGATGTGCTGCGGACTCTGAGTGACTGGGCAGAGCCTGTCATGAACAGAGAGTGGGACTGACTGAACCATCCTCATCCAAGGTCAGGTCTGTGGGACTGTGGGGTTTCTGACTGTTTCTGACTCTTCCTGCAAGTCACTCAGTAGTGGCAGCTTGTTAAATAAGCCTTTGTCATGAAAATACAGAAGATATAGTCATGAAAATACAGAAATGCTGAGGGATGTTCACACAGGCTGATTATAAAACAATTGTAAAGCTGCAAAAAGCAATTTAAGATGTATTAAAAGTTATTGTGCAGTGTGTGTACGGGGCCAATTGACCAGTTGGCATTTTAAACTTTTCAAAAAGATGGTGATAAATATTTACAATGATTGGTGATTCTGGTAATTCACTGAGTTTTTTATAATAAATGGTGAAAGTTTGAACCATGCAGATGCATATGCTGGTATTTGACACAATGGTTACACTGGAGTGTGTGTAGTGACGTGTAGTGAACAAATAGTTTTTGACAGAAATGTAATCTTTTTATCTGTCTCAACACAGCAAAGGGAAAAGATGAAGGAGGATCCCATTTGGTGTCTATGAGTGCATGCAAATATTTGACTTGAGAGGAAGCAAAAATACTTTACCCTGATTCACCCACTGTCTTTGGGAAAAAAATTGAGCTGTCAAAAAATTGCAAATCTTATTAAAAGACTGGAAAACCTTGCCTAGAGGTGGATTTGCACTGTTTGTGTGGGGAATATAATGTACTCAGAGACTCAGTGGCAAGTGTTTACTTGCTTAAGGCATTTTAATGTTAGGAATGGCCTTATTTTATGAATTTAAGTCTTAGAGGTTTTTTTAAAGTTTTCCAGTATTTGAGGTCTTATTTCTGCTCCAAATTAAATCTCCAGATGAGAGAATATTTTTTTGTGTATAAACAAACAGGGACAGATAACAGTGTGAAGAATGATCAGGTTTGTGGGGAAAGAAGAAAAGGCTTCAAGTTAAAGTTAAAATGCATGGAAATGTATTAAAAAAATGTAGTTTGGAATAACAAAATTAATCTTTAATTATATATATATGCAAATTGTAAAAAGGTATACTTGAGAAAAACAGGGGACATACAAAGTCACTGATAGCTCTCTAAAATCTTCCTTTAAGTAAACTATTGTCTTTTACTATTCACTTTTTCTATTTATATCCAAAAAATTATGGTCACTTTTCCTTGAAAAGCATATTTAGTCATTTTAGATAAGGGATACAGCATTATCCATGGCTGACTGAGCACATACCAGGCAGGTATTTTTAGTTTCTTTAGGCTGAATAAATGCAAGTGGAAGTTCCACTTCAGTTGCTCATGTTGTATGGAAAACAGGCTGGAGTTGGTGAGGCAAGGTTAATGTGAGGAGCTGGACATTAGTCTTGGGACATAAAATGTCCATTCTTCTGAAATTACTATATGCAGTAGAGTGTTCAGCTGCATAGTAATATGTACAGGGGAGAAATATGTATATATATATATATATATATATATGATGAGCATAATGTTTGAAACATGCCAGGGAGGTCTGTGCTGATAGATAATACGAGCCCCAGGAGAAACCAGACTACTTCATCATCTTTTGGCTTGGCAGCAGTGGGATGACTTATCATAGCTAAAAAAATATTACTGTGCTGAACTACCTGAAATTTTTCAAGCCTTTGTTCAGGACTCGTATTTGTTCATGTTAATTCATCCGTGACACCTCCGAGCTCCAGTTCCCTTAACATCTGGAGCAATTATCCATAGAGCAGGAGAGAGAACTGAAATACCAAATCCTCTTCTGTGGTTCATTTAAAAACAAAACAAACTTCTCTTCACCCTCTGTCATCCTTTGTGAATTTTAAGCATATGGAGTAGTTTGGGCTGAGTAGAAATCCTTTCATGGTGATTTAACTTTGCTGTCTTGAGAATGCAAAGCACCTCTTGCCAGCTGGATGTGTGGGACTGAGGAGGTGCTAGAGCACACACTGGAAAATGGAAAGTCTCTCCCCTGTGGCAGAACAAAAGCTGGAGGGCTTTCTGATCTGTGGATGCAGGCACTCCCAAAATCAGCAGTAAATGCTTTTCCTGACCTGCAGAGCTCTTCCAGTCTGGCCACAGCTTTTCCCCTTCTCCCCACTGCGGGATCCACCCATGTTTTACCTCTCAGAAGAGGATCTGCAAGGAAATCCCCAGCAAGGGTGGCACAGCTATCAATGACATAAATAAACTGAAGGGAGGAAGCCGTGACAGTCTTCAAGTGCCCATTGGAAACATCCAGAGAAGTGCAGTGCTGGTCTGTCCCACAATATCAAAATATAGCAACATTTTTTCTCTTACTTCATTTGGCAGATTACTAGCCAATAAAGCCAAGAGTTGTTATCCTTCATACTCTCCTTATTTTTAACACTAAGTAATTTGGGTTTTTTCCTGAATTTTACCATGTTTCTTTATAGCTGCTCAACATGGTAATTCTGTCTCCATTTTCTCTAGGGGGAAAGAAAAAGAAAATTAGTTACAGCAGAAAAAAAAATGTTGGCTAAATTCTCAAAATTAAATACTGTTTTATAGAATTGTACACTGGAGATTGTGGTCATGTATTTAGTAAAGTCTGGCCTAAATCTAGAAAAAATAAATATATATATTTTACAAATCTGTCTACCTTACAAATCTGTGTATTTTATGAGGCTTTTTTGTATGATGAGTACTACTGCTCAAGGTTACACTGAAGGAAAACTCTTTTTCCATCCATCTTCACTGTGGTTACTCTCATTTTTCTGGCAGGATACAGTCCCTGGCTCACAGGGGTGACAACCATGCTACCTATGAGAAAACATTAACACAACTCTAAGCATTTAACAAAAATGAAAACATAAGTTTTAAAAAAACCCAGCTGTTTTGTTCTCGCTGTCATTAATGGAAGTAACATTGTGCCTCTGCCCATTCATACAACAACCAAACAAATACATGGCAAGCTAATGTTTAAGTTTTATATTGTCACCTGTCCTCTAGGCTACTGAAATCTGCTGGTTTCAGTGGAGAAGCCAGATTGAGAAACGCTTGCTCTGGCCTTACTGCTGCCAGCTGGTCGTTCCACCTGCACTATTTTGTGTCCACTTCGATGCTCCAAGGAAAGTCATTTTGTGAGGCCATGTGGTAAACTGCTCTGAGAAGTCATCCAGGATATAAATGACTTGGCGGAAATGGAAAAGAAGAAAGTGAGTGTTTATTTTGTGAGCCAATTTCCTGATCCAGCTCCCTAACATAGCCCCACAGACAGCTCTTTTGGCATAGCTGAGGTGTCAGGGCAGGAGCAAGCCCCAGGCTCCTGCACCTGGTGTCTGCTGGAGGAAACATTTTTCAGAGTACTCTTCTCTAAGACATCTGCTTATTCTGAAGGAAGTGGTGAGACATCCACTCTCCATTAGCTTCATTCTTCCTGTGTGTGGTCTTGGTCTGATCTTCACATAGTGTGGCCCCTCCTTCAGGGAGCTGTTTCCTGTTGTGTTTATTCAAGTATCTCTTACCATGCAGTTTAAGGTCTAAACCTTTGGTAGGAGAATGGGATCCATTTATAGTCTACCTGAGAAGTCCACATAAATCATGTGCTGGATAAAACAAACCTCCTAGGATAACTCCACCTTAGATGTACAAAATATGCTTGCCACACCTTGCTGATGGACTGGTGGTTAGAGATCTGGCTAGCCAAAATATGAACAGCAGGACTAAAAATGAAGTAAAAATCATAGGAAAAGAATGTACTGTGGGATCCTCCTCCACCATTCCATTGACTAAAATAAAAGAGATCATTTCCACGCCTGTTGAACCTATTGCTGCTGTCTGTGTCTGCCTCTCCTTATCAGTGTTTGCAAACTTCCTCGTGTAGCACTGCAGGATTCCAGCTGGCAGGAGTTTGCAGTGACAGTATGGTGTTTTTGTCAAATTACATCCAAGTGTAGAAGGAAGCAGCATGAAGATGATGAATCTGAAATCTGCAATGAACCTACTTCTCCATCTGAAATCAGCATCTAAAGTCACTGTTGTCTAACAGTAAAGAGTCTCAGGTGGAATGTGTTTCTGGGTGGCAGGCAGGCAGAGACCCCCAGCACCACCTCATTCTGCTATTTTTATGTTTGTCCTTTCGTGGGAAGAGTGAAAGGGAAAACAGCAGCAGAACCAAGTTTTTTCATGTCTTTCATTTGCCATAACCTTTATAAATGGGTGTCTTGAGGATCCATCACTTAATACCACTCCAGATGGCAGGAATGGCCTCCTGCCCATAGAAGGGTCAGTAGAGCAGTCTACCATGAATCTTTTGACCCTGCAGTCATCTCGATCCCAAACTAGAACTGTTGTGATGCAGGGAGTAGTGCTGAGGAGGGTGTGTGTCTTGCAGGCACAAGAGGCTGTTTGTTTGAGTAGCTGATGGAAACGGTTATGATGTAGAGCGAGGAATTTCTCAGTGCTGAATAAAATGGCTGAGGGGAATTTTGATAAAGGGATATATTTTATGTCATCTGAGCACCTTGCATTGAACATTTAGTAGTGCATGCCAATCAGTCCGTCCAGGTGCAAATAAAAATTAGTGACACTGTGGTGTTTGCTCTGAAGTATCCCTGTGTCTCCAAGACTTCTTTGGAAAAGCATCTTTAAGGCATTACTGGA